ATGTTAAAAGCAATTCAGACCTTGGCAAAGAGGTGTTCCACACACACACACACACCCGCTTCCTTCGTTTCTTCCTTGCGGCGAGGCAAGACGGGCTAGCCTACATCATTCGTGAAGCTGATGCCACAGCCTGGAAATTCTGGGGCTGTGTCTCGTACTTCGCCGCAAAGCTTGATTGCCCTTCCAACATATGGGAGGTTGTACACGAGACCAGTGAGAAGTGTGATACGTGATTATAGCAACGTCTATGGCATGACGAAGGGAAATGAAGGGAATGCGCCACCTTTCGCGTGGGATTATTGCTCCGATCTACTGACACTACAAAACCTTCTGAAGCAGATGCGCTCTCACATGGGTGACCCACCCGTTGCTTTCCGAAACAATGCACCTGCTTCAAGTACAGCCGGGCCGAGGCGCACGACGCGAAGTGTCTAAAATCTAAGAGGCCTCCCTGAACATCATCTTCGTGGAGCAACATGGAGCAACAAAGCAACAAACTGATGGCTTGATGCCCCGTGTCCGTAGAAGGAGCGCTGCCCGCGGCGGATGAAAAGATAGTCCGCGCTGTATGACGTTAGAACTACCTGAGCACACAGGCAGCTCACGGAGCAAGCAACTTGAACACATTTTGACACATATGGCCCACTCTGCGAAAGGCGAATGGTGATTAACTCCACTCCTCGATGCCAGGGTGTATGTTACAGCCAGGCAGAAGTACAGGATCATCTGCAGCATGTTGCCTTGATCCTGATCTGTTGCACACCCCTCCTTTCGACGCCACTCAGCCACACTCACCAATGCATGCCACAAGCCTTGAGGTCCGCATACCGTAGAAGGCACCACCAAACTGCCCAAAAGGCAGCTGCTGCTGGAGCGAAGAGGAAGCAGCTCACTCCAACTAGCCAATGGCTGTTCCAGTGCCTACAAGAATGCGACTTGAAGCCAATCACCTGGGCCAGTGTTCGCTGCATGGCAGCGCCGGCATTCCCTCGCAGCTTTGTCGAAGTTTGTGCCGAAACGCTGCAGCGAAGAAAAGGTCCAGAACCTGTCTATTTTTTGCTTTTTGCCGAGGATTTCAATTAGACTTCTTGGGGTTTTGGCCAGGGCTGGAATTACCCTGCCCCCAGACCCTAAATCCTTTTTGCATCCAGGCCTCCTGCGACCGACCCCCCTAAACCCCAAACCCCCTAAACCCTAAACCCCCTAAACGCAACCCTAAACCCTAAACCCAAAACGTCTTGGACCCCGCCGGCCTTGGCTTTGGCTCCTCTCTGGAACCGTTGGCGAGCGCTGAGGCGGTAGAACTCGCGCCCGGCTCCACCGAAGGACCCGAACTGAGAGCCAGAGCCGGCAAGTTGTCTTGTCCTCTACATAACTCAACTATATACTTGACATATGTATTTATATATACATATATACATACTATGTGCATATACTTTATAAACTGTATACATATATACCCCATTCGTATACGCATGTGTATGTATACATATATATATATATGTATGTATGTATACATGCATATACATATATATCTATATTATATATATATATACACATACATGCGGTATCTCGGTATAACTGCAAATATTGGGACTTTATGCCTTCAGGCTGCAAGCTCAAGTAAGCTCCGGGCGCTTGCGGTGCCAGCAAGGAGCTGATGGATTCGTCCAGCAATTTCAAAGCTTTGGCACGACGGGCATCATACTCCTCCCCATGCTCTGACCGAAACTTCAAAAGGCGCCAGGAGCGTTGCCTTGGAACCGGGTGCGCCGGGAAGTGGATCCCCAGCTTGCCTGAAGCTCCGGTAGCTAAGCTCTCACTCTTCAGGCAGAGTCCCAGCTTTTGCCGAGTGACACAGGCCACGGAGGCGGTGCAGGCCAGGGGGTCGAAGCGGTGGCGGCGCTGAGACCTCGCAAAACATCGGAGAACATCGGAAGAAGTCAACCGATGCTTTGCATCTCCAGCTTGGCTTCAAACTCATGCCCGGAGCTGAGTTCCAGAGCCTTTCCACTGATGAAGTTCTCACTGCTTAAATTGAGCTGCTCAGGCTCTGACACGGCTCCACCGTCCTGTACACGACTGGGATCGTAGACGATGGCCTCACAGATGGAAACCCCCACTGCTGCCGCCAGAACAAGCTCCAAGACTACAACCACTACGACTTGCTGCTGCAGGCTGCTGCAGGCTGCTGCAGGCTGCTGCAGCTTACTGCGGCTTCGACGGCAAGGCTTCGAACCGTCCAGGCCTCGCCCTTCTCTGCATCCTCCTCGAAAAAAGCAGACATTGCAAGCTCTGTCACCCGGCCTTTCCGGACGTTGAGGGTTCGTGTCCTCCGGCTGCCGTATTCGCAGAAGGCCAGGGGCTGCTGTGGAGGCCAAGTTGTGGGACAGGGCCTGGCACGCGAAGGACCATTGGGCAGGACCCAGTGCCAGCTGAACGTGGCATGATGTATGTGCTAGACTGCTCACGGTGTCGGACAAGCAGCTCCAACTGCACTGACCACCGGACGCAAAGCTTGAGGAAACAGATTCGCCTGGCGCAGCGCACAGAGAAAAACGGCAACAGAGTTGCCACTGTCTTGGATGATCTTGGTAAGCCGGCGGCGAAAACAAAGTCTGGCCTGCAAGTTCAGACGCAGCTGCTGGCCGACACAAGTACTAAGCAGATCCGACTGAAACCACAGACTAGCTCATGTCCACAGGCACGAGTTGGATACATCATTCAAATTCAACAAAGCCAAGCCGGCACAAGTTCACTGAGGCTGGGGACGAATGGTCCCCATGCGCTTTGGCATGGGGGAACCTAAGGTGGGCAGTGGCGAGGTCCGTGCAGGACCCACAGCAAGATCTCGAACGAGAACGGCACCAGTGCAGGTAGCGCAAGTGAAACCACGCCTGGCCAAGGCAGTGCGCTCCCAGCCACAAAGAACGGAAGAGCCTGGGGTCACCACGAAGAAGAAGGCCAAAGGTGCGAAGGGCCACTCAGGGAGCAGCCACGCAGGCCCCAGAAGCCTCGGCTTGAGGCTCGAGATCGGCTTCCGCCCCGAAGCATCCTGCATATCGAGGCGAGGCACCCCAAAACCACGCAGGCCGAGACCTGCTGCGTGGTGAGCAGGGTCTCTGAACAACGGCTCTTTGCGGCCAGGCCACGAGGCCGAAGGGCAGGTGCTGGCCTGGGAGACGCAGGCGAGAGCCGAGAGCTGCCAACCGCAATTTCAGGGCCAGGGCCAAGTCCCGGGCATTGCAAACCCCAGGGCTTGGGCACGAAGGGCAAGACCTCTATAGCGTGCGCAAGCAGCTCTTGCAGGACTGCAAGGGAGCTCTCTCCGTAGACAGCGGCTTTTCTAAGCCCTACTGGCATCGGAGGCGAGAGCAACTCCGAACATGCCGCACCTCCAAAGGGTAGGCCTGAGTCGCAGGAAATGGCTGTGTCTCAGCAAGTCGAGGTATGCTCAAAGCTGGGTTGCGGGGCATGCCGCAGGCCAAGCGCCAGGGCGACGGTCAAACCACAGCAACTGAGCAAGTCAACCACTTCGACGAGCTGCAACACATTTCACACGATGGTCCAAGTTCACAGCCCCCGTGTGGGCAGAAAGAAATCCTGCACTGAGCACGAATCGTGGCAACTCCCGAGAGATACCACAAGGCTGGATCATGTCCTTCTCCCTGTCGGTTCGAAACACCTGCTGCGTTCCACGTGCCTCTGCCATGAGCTGTCACGTACCCTCAGGCACCGGCCTCTACAACTTCCCAGAAAAGAACCACCTGCAGCGGCCATGTGAAGCGATCGTAGGTGCATCGATTTCCCCAAACCGCAACGAGAACCGCACAACAGACGAAGCCGCACTGGCAAAAGCCAAGTAAAGGCACAGTGCTCGAACCGACCTCGAAGGATCAAACTTCTGCCCGGCTGAACGCACACATACCTCGGGGCTCTGCGGTGTCATACAATCTTTTTCTCCGCTGCCCCCAGGCTCGCGCGGGTGTCCAGGATTTTCAGCTACTACGAAAAGCGCGTCCATCTCATCACAGCAGCGTCTCGTGCAGTCGTAGTACCTCAGCTCGGCCCCATTGGCCCGATGCTTTGGCCGCTTTCCCAGCACACAGTCTTTGCAGGCGAGCAGCGTGTAGGGCCTCGCCGTAATGGAACGGACAATCCAACCCGTTTCCGCCAGTTGCTTGCGCAAGTGGTCTTCCGTCGTGCGGCGAGGACCTGTCCATCCATATCCTGCATTTCCTGCGAGGCTAAGAGTCGAGAGAAAGAGAGGAGAGGCACTGCTGTTGAAAGCAAAGGCGGTCCATCGGAGAAGGCATGGAGAAGCAAACGGCCGCCCTCTCTGACACACGCGGCGGTGGCACGGAGCGCGTCGCGCTGCGCCTCGTCGTCACCTCGGCTGGGCTGGGTTGGGGCTTACCCGCGTGTCCCTCAGCGTGTTTTCCCTGAGGGCCTGGCCAATTCCATGGAAAACAGCAAAATCAAGGACGGTGTCGTATAGGAGGTCCGTAATTTCAGGTACTTCGCTCATTGCAAACACATCGACTTGGTAGACCTCGGTGGCGGTCGGACTTGGCATGTAGCAGCTGGCATCGCAGTGCCCCTGCCACCGATGCATCTAGCAAAGTTGAACTGCAGCGGAGCAACACGCATCGACCTCAAGAGAACGTCATGCATCAACGCGCATTGACATGTGCACGAAGCCCACCGCATTATCCTACAATTGCTTTTGCCGTGATCGCCAAATAATCTAGTTACTTTTGTTTAAACCCGTTGTAAGAACAAGTGATGCCGCACAGCATGAAACCTTCTACACTTAAATCACAACTGCGGTCCCAGTGGTGCCAATTGTCAAAGAGAAAAGCCTTCAAGCGTGTCCCAGCTGCCCTGACATCTTCCCAGCTACATGCAATCGCTGACGTGCAAGAGTCACAGCAGCCGGGACAATGTCGAAGGCTGTGACGTCGAAACCGTTTTCGGCAAGGAAGACTGCCTCAGGTCGAGGGCTTCCACATAGGGCCCGACCTGGTGCTTCGCCGATTAGACAGAACTACTGATCACGACTAAATGACACTTATTCGGCCACCTGGCATTCTCTCCAGTTCCACAGCCAATGTCGAGAATCCGAGGACCCAACACTTCGCCTGGGTCGCAGGCCACGACTCTTGCAGACTTCTAGCCCAACACTGAACTTGGTCCAGAAGCCATCAGCCAGTGCAACAGCCAGGGCTGGCTGGGGAATTCCCACATCCCACGGGGCACCTTCGAAAGCCTCCAGGGACTCTCAGTGACACGCAGCTGGCCCGAATAACTGCTTGGGGGCAAATCCTCGTAGGCTCTCTCGAAGAAGCTCAGTGGCGGAGCGCGATCCAGGATGCGCCCCGAGTCGTGCGGGTCCATGGCAAAAGCCAAGAGGGAACAGGAACTTCTTGCTGAGCCGAAAGCTCTATGTGATTACATACATACATGCATACATACATCCATGCATGCATACATACATACATACATAAATGGATACGTACAAATCCACATGTGCGTATACATAGATACGTATCTGCTAGCCCGTAGATAGATAGATTGATAGATTGATAGTTAAATCGATAAATGGATAGATAGATAGATAGATAGATAGCAGCCATAAAGCAGCCATATAAGCATGTCATAGCATGTCTACATAGATGCCACCTAAGAATTGCTTGATGTGCCGCAATTAGCGTCAAGATGACCAACACCCGCACAGTCACGCTGCAACCTTTTGCGCTTGCCAGGAGTCTGGAAGGGACCAACTAGCTTGGGTACAAAGCTTCGCCTTGCACTTATAAGCTATGAAAATGTGAAGTAGGCCTCGGGAGGTTGCAAACTGGTCTGCCATCCTAAGAGATTGCCTTTGTGCAACATGCAGACTGAATTACGAGGGCCCGATGCAAGCCCAGCCGACGGTGGGCGACGGTGGGGACCATAATTGGGCTTTGAGCAATGCTTGTCACGCAGTGACCTGGGTGCGCATACATCTGCGAGTTGATTACTTGCTGGTTTACACGACGTTGCACCACAACGTGATCAGGACAGCAGCAAAACACGCAAGATGCAGGCACAGGAAGTCTGAAGAAGTCCCTTGGTGGTTTGCGGGGAATTTGTGGTCCCGGTGGCTCTCATTGTCGCGATCATGGGCAGATGGTCGTAAGCTTGAATGTCCGGCACGGTCTCATAGGAGGCCAAAGCAATCTGCAAAGTGCTGTGCTTATACCAGCCAACACTATCCAGCCATCCAAACCTCAAGTTTTGAGAGACGGTCACTCTATCACTCTATCGAGCTACTGGGCTCCTTAGCAGCTACCGCGCTTCAGGGCACGAGAGTTGGTGCGTCCAGGGAGCTGGAAAAAATGTCGCTCCGAATCTTTGTCGGAAGCTTCCGTCTTAATTTTTCGCTGAAGCCACTTGCCATCCCCCTTCCAATTAAAGTATGCCGAAAGCAGCTCCGCGTGTAACGCCTCTGCGCCGCCCCCGTCATTTGAAGCTGAACCTCCTCTCCTCAGCGGTCGTGGCATCGCAGCACCGTTGGAATTAGCTGCTAAATCTCTTTGCAGAACATCCTTTCCACATAGAAGCCATGTTGGCGCAAGGCTCGTGAAAGAAGGCCCTTAAAGCCTAAGTTTCTTCCAAGCCATAAAAAAAGGGTGTGACGGGCGCAACATGGCCCAGGCCGATGAGGAGAGGGATGGACCGAAGAACGCACCAAAACCCCCTCGAGATACTAATGACTAATGGTTGAAGCAGGGTTTGGGGGTTTAGGCTCTCGCAACTCGGGCAATGCAGACGAGGATGGTTTGGGGGTTTAGGGTTTGGGCTTAGGGGTGATTCGCCGGCAAAAAGCCCAGCATGACTTTCAGATCGCCATCAATGCATGTTCAGAAGTGAAGGCGGAGGTCAAGGGCCAAACATTCAGGTAGCAAACCCGGAAGCAAACCCGCAAAGGCATACTCAGCCGGGAAGATGGAACAGCAAACCGCATGACCTGCGACGAAAGAGCCAAGCCAAGTAATGCCATTGCAAGATCCCCAACACCCCAGAGTGGCACACCCCGTACGGCTTGGCAGATAAACCGTTGTGCTTAAAGACCACTCGCTTCCTGTCCAGGTCACCTGCCAGCCCAATGTTGCGAAACATCGCCCAGTCGGCTGAAGGAGACGAGATCCAGCAGGCTCAACCGGCAACCTAGTTGTGCTCCCAGCATGGCCTTGCCCGCATGTACGGATGAAGACCCCGCAACATGAAAGCTAGAAAACCGAGCCTCAAAGGGCTCGACTCTGTAGAATGGCCACGGGACTTCAAGCCGGGAGTCCAGGGCCGCATCGATCGTTAACCAAAACCTCATCTTGCAGGCACTTTGGAACACGGCAACTGGCGCTGCAAGTGGCCTCCAGACTTGCCTCGATCCCTTCTGCGGTCGGGCGGCATGTCTTTCATTTTCGAGCTACATTCGGAACGAGTGTATATCTCGCCTCGAAGGTCACGCCCGGAATACGTCAAGGAGT